CGGAGTTGAAGAAGGGGAGTGTAATGGAGAATAGGGGTGTGATTGCTGAAGGATACAGGTTCTTTCTGAGGTAATGAAAATAAAATTAGTGGTGACATATACATATCTGAATATACTAAAAACATTGTATATTTTGGATGAATTGTATGTTATGTGAATTTCATTTTTTTTAAAAAAGATCTTGGGAGTTGTATAATTACGAGGCCAGAACAGAAGTCAGATCATGGAAACCCTTCTAGGCCGCGTTAGGATTCTGATTTTTATCCGAAGAGCTCTTCATTGTTCTCATTAACCGCTTGAACAAGATGTATTGAAATCAATTAGATGAAAATTGCCTCCTAATTTGTCTTATTCCTTGCTCACTGTGATCTATTTTCAGCACAGCCAGTTATCTAATGCTTGCTGGCTCAGGACAACTAAGGGTGTTGACAGGGCTCAGCCAGTCACATGGAGGCTGGAGCTAGAGACTTTCTGAAGACTGTTGAGGTGGATGGCTATTGTCTAATATGGCTGCTTTGCTCATATATCTGATGCCTCAACTGAGATGGTTCGAACATCTGTATTGTTTCCATAAAATGATTAGATATGTCTCATTTCCTAAAAGGAAAAGGGAACAGTGACTCTTTGAGACCAGTGACAAAGAGGGACTTTGGAGAATGACTTAGCCTGTGGTAAGGAGAGGGAGAAGACACCTAAATGACAAATGCTGGAGTAGTAATCTCAACAGATTGGAAAGCAGCCTTGCCTTGAAAAAAGAACAGGGGAAGCCAGTGTGTGTCTAAGAAAAGGGTTTTGGACTGAGCAGTAGAAAAAACTTTGCCCTTGGCAATAAAAGACCTAAGGAGGAATAATTTTTGTATTTAGTAATTTATTGATATTTTATTTTGTGCCTTAGGGAGACTGGCTCTCAATTTACCTATTAGCTTGGAACCAGGGATTTCTTTTAATCAAATATTAAGATAAAAAGAAAAAAATATGTGCATGAACTTAACAGAGCAGTGCTGGTAACACAAGGACTGCTATGTAGTGTTCAGTATTTTCCATTGCTTTGGACTTGAGGAGTCATTTTATATACAGACTAGAGGCCCGGTGCACAAAAATTTGTGCACTTGGGGGTGGGGGGCCTCAGCCCGGCCTGTGCCCTCTTGCAGTCTGGGACCCCTCAAGGGATGACTACCTGCTGGCTAAGGCCCGCTTCCCGGGGGATTGGGCCTAAGCTGGCAATCAGACATCCATCTGGCAGCCCGGGAGCCCTTGGGGGATGTCCACTTGCCAGCAGGGAGCAAGCCTAAGCTGCAGTCTGACATCCTTAGTGCTGCTGAGGAGGCGGGAGAGGCTCCCACCACCACCACCGCTGTACTGGCAGCCATTAGCCTGTACTGGCTTGTGGCTGAGCAGAGCTCCCCCTGTGGGAGCGCACTGACCACCAGGGGGCAGCTCCTGCACTGAGCGTCTACCCCCTAGTGGTCAGTGTGTGTCATAGTGACCAGTCATTTCCAGTCGTTCTGCTGTTAGGGTCAATTTGCATCTTACCCTTTTATTATATAGGATAGAGGCCTGGTGCATGGGTGGGGGCCGGCTGGTTTGCCCTGAAGGGTGTCCTGGATCAGGGTGGGGGTCCCGCTGGGGTGCCTGGGCAGCCTGGGTGAGGGGCTGATGGCTGTTTTCAGGCTTCCCGCACCCCCTTCAGGGTGGGGGTCCCCACTGGTGTGCCTGGCCAGCCTGGGTGAGGGGCTGATGGCTGTTTGCAGGCTGGTCAAGCCCCCCCCAGTGGGGACCCTCACCCCATGGAGGTTTGGCCAGCCTGGGTGAGGGGCTGATGGCTGTTTGCAGGCTGGTCAAGCCCTCCCCAGTGGGAACCCTCACCCCATGGAGGTTTGGCCAGCCTGGGTGTGGGGCTGATAGCTGCTTGCAGGCTTGCCACACCCCCTTTAGGGTGGGGGGTCCCCACTGGGGTGCCTGGCCAGGCTGGGTGAGGGGCTGAGGGATGTTTTCAGGCTGGCCAAGCCCCCCGGCGACGGAAGCTCCCAGCCTCTCCTTTTTTTCTTTTTTTTTTTCTTTTTATTCTGGGATTTATTTACCTTCTATAATAGAAACTTTGTTGCCTTCAGTGGAGCTCAGAGCCAGCCGGGAAACTTGGCTTCCTCCATCACTGGAGCAACCAAGCCTCCTGCTCACTCCAGCTCTGTGGCCACCGGCCACCATCTTGGTTGGGTTAATTTGCATATAGTTGCTCTGATTGGCTGATGGGCGTGGCTTAAGGTGTAGCGAAGGTATGGTCAATTTGCATGTTTGTAGTTTATTAGATATCCAGGTGTTCTATACTCAGAATAGCTTTGTATTGAATTTTTTTTTTTTGGCTGTATTTTTGTGTATATATTTCAGGTGTACAGTTCTAGAATACATAATCTGTATATTGTATTTTGTGTTCACCACCCCAAGTCTCTTCTTCCATCACTATTTCCCCCATACCCTCGTCTACCTTCTCTCACCCCCTTTCCCTCTAGTAATCACCATACCATGTCTTTGAGTTTATTTTGTTCATTAGATTCCACGACTGAAATCATATGCTACTTGCCTTTCTCTGATTGGCTTATTTCACTTAGCATAATGCTCTCCAGGTCCATCCATGCTATCTCAAAAGATAAGATTTCCTTATTTTTTACAGCCAAGGAATATTCTATACAAATCTGATTTAAAACATTTTCATCCCTTCCATCTCTATTTTTCTAGGAATTATCAATTGTTTATTCACTTTTCAGTTCCTTCTAGTTTTCAATTACTTTTCATTCCTAATGCTTCCTGAATTGTCATTTATCTTCTCAAATCTTTTATCTATTCATCTGAGTCTGATTTACATTGTTTTATAGCTTTTTAAAAATATATATACTTTATTGATTTCAGAGAGGAAGGGAGAGGGAAAGATAGAAACATCAATGATAAGAAAGAACCATTGATTGGCTGCCTCCCGCACGCCCCCTACTGGGGGTTGAGCTCACAAGCCAGGCATATGCCCTTGGCCAGAATCGAACCTGGGACCTTTCAGTCCACAGGCCGATGCTCTATCCACTGAGCCAAACCAGCTAGGGCTGTTTTATAGCTTTTTTAGAGAGAAGGAACATCAATTGGTTGTCTCCACACGAACCCCAACTGGGGACTGAACCTGCAACTCGGGCATGTGCCCCAAATGGAAATAAAGGAGGATGCTCAATCAACTGAGCCACACTGGCCAGGGCCATTTTATAATTTTTATCATTAATTTTTTAAAGAATATACCTTTATTGATTTCACAGGGGGAGATAGAGACATCAATAATGAGAATCATTTTTTGGCTGCCTCCTACACACCTACAGTGGGGATTTGAGCCTGCAACTCGGGCATGGGCCCTGATTGGGAATTGAACCATGACCCAGATCTGGGTTCATAGGTCAATGCTCAACCACTGAGCCACACCAGTTGGGCAGTCTTTTTTTTTTTTAAACTTTATTATTTTAAAAATATATTTTTATTTCAGAAAGGGATAGAAACATTAATGAGAATCATTGACTGGCTGCCTCCTGCCTGCCCCCTACTGGGGATTGAGCCGTAACCAGGCATGTGCCCTTGACAGGAATTGAACTGGGACCTTTCAGTCCACAGGCAGATGCTCTATCCAGAGACAAACTGGTTGGGGCTTTTTTTGTTTTTTTTTTAATGTTTTAGTTGATGTTTTAGAGAGGAAGGGAGAGGGATAGAGAGGCAGAAATATTGATTGGCTGCCTCCTGCAAGCCAACCCAGGCATGTGCCCCGACCAGAAATCGAACCATGACCTTCTGGTTCATAGGTCGATGTTTAACCACTGAACCATACCGGCTGGGCCACAATTCTTTTTTTAAAAAAATTTTGTTTTATTACTTAAAGTATTACAAAGAGTATTACATATGTCTCCTTTTTTTTTTCCTCCCCTCGACCTTCCCCTGCCTCCCCAGTGTCTTGTGTCCATTGGTTATGCTTATATGCATGCATACAAGTCCTTCGGTTGATCTCTTACCCCGCCTGGGCCACAATTCTTTTCTGTTGTTCACTTTTATGTGAAATCCATTTTCCTTTTAGAAGAGAGGGAAAGGGACAGAATAACTTTTCTAGCTTCAAGGTTCATGAAATCCTATTACTAGTATTTAAAAAAATTTATTTTTATTGATTTCAGAGAGGAAGGGAGATAGAAACATCATTGATGAGAGAAGATCATTGATTGGTTGCCTCCTGCCTGCCCCCTACTGGGGGTCAAGCCTGAAACCCAGGCATGTGCCCTTGGCCAGAATGGAACCTGGGACCCTTCAGTCCACAGGCCGATGCTCTACCTGAGCCAAACCAGTAGGGCCTATTACTAGTATTTTTACTGAGATCTGCTTCCTTGTCTTCTCTCCCTCACTTAATATGTACCTTGTCTTTCCTCTGCCCCTATTGTCTGCCTGTCCTGCTCAACTTGGTATTACAGCCAGTAGTTTCTCCTTAAATGGATTTTGTTTTGGAATGAAGCTTAGGTTTATTAGTTTCAAGAGTTCATAAGGACCTAGCCTATTTCAACATCTTCAGTCCCCTTAAATTCACCTGCAAATGGGCATCTTCAGGATCCTTTCCTGTTTTGGCTGTTTTCAAATTGGCCTGCATGCTTTCCAATGGAAAGCTGATTGGGGGGATCTATTCTCAAGGCCATCAGACATCCCACTGCTTTTCCTCCATGACCAATACAGACAGCCAATACCATTCAGGTCTTATACCTGCTTTTGAGTTTTTTCACTACCTAGTCTTATTTTGGGACTGTGCAGACTACTTTGTCAGGGTTTCATGCAAAAACACAGCAACATTTTAATATTTAAATATTAAACTTAATATTTAAATATTAATATTTAAATGTTGTTTTAATATTTAAATGTTAACAGTTCACAGAAAAGGATATACAAATGGCTCAAGCACATACCCAACCTTATTCTTAAGTGACAGTACAAAATTCCACTCATTAAATCTCCAGAGATTAATATACCTTTATTCAACTAATGGATTGGCAAAAATAAAATATTTGACTCACATATTGTTGGCAGGTCTGTAAACTGGCATAATCCTTACAGAAAGCAATGTGCCAATCAAAAATAAAGAATGCACAAATCTTTTGACCTAGTAATTCTAACTTAAAATTTTATCTTACAGTAACTTACTAATATGCAATGACTTATGTGCAGTTATTAAATGAAGAGTTATTTATACTAAGAAAACAATTAAAATGTCTGTTCCCAATATATCATGGTACATTCATATAATTCTGTGCAGCTGTACAAAAAGAATCAGGAAATTCTTTATGTGTTGACATGGAACAATCTCAAAAATACCATGTAAAGTGAAAAAGGCAAGTTGAAAATAGATTTTTCTTAGACAAACATTTGAAATAAAAACTTATATTCCAATAGAAATATGAAACTCAGGTAAATTCAGTGAGCAAATACTATATTTTATTCATCTGATGTATAAACTTTTCCACAATTCCATTGAGTCTTTCAGGCTCCAGCAGTTTATTTACTAATTCCTGTTCAACAGCCATTAGGGCCAAGCCACTAAGCTTCTCTTGTCCCATGGAATTACATAAATATGTTTTAAGACGAGGCAGTATAGAAAATGAGTTTTCAACACTTGCTGAAGTGACTGGCCAAGACAGAGCAATATATAATAGCTTTGATAAGCAAGGAATATTGTTATGAAGACCATGCTGAATAAATAAGTAGCCAAGGTTGCTGAAATTGATATGATCATTATCTATGACAAAGTTGAGCTTTGCATATTGCCGATAAAATCGAAGTTCTGGGATGATGTCTCCATCAAGTTTATAAAATTCTTGGACATGTTTGGCTGTTGCTTCACTTAATGGTTCATTCCATTTTAATAACAGTTCTGAAATTTGCTTCACTTTGCAATAATCAAATTCTGAAAAATATATTTTTAAATTCTGTAATATAGTATCTAATCCTTGGTAATAAATGCCAATTTTATATTGTTCTTCTGTGGAGGTAGGAAAAAACATATTGTCTGAATTATTAAGAGCTCTTGTTTCCTGAATTTTTCTTCTTTTATGAAAAGAAGGTCTTTCAACTTCAAAACCTTTACAGGTTATTTTTTGACATATTTCTTCTGCTTCCTCCCAGAAAATTTTGAAACAGACATCATTTCTTTCAGATGATAAACATTCCAAAATTGCTTCTATTTTTGAAGACAAAGAAAAAATGTCTATGGTTTCACTTCGAAGCTCTTTGGAAAGAATTCCTATAACACTTAATACTCGATAAAGAAACTTTAAACAAAAGATAAATTCAAATTTGGAAACCATTGTCAACAAATCACTCAATTCATCAGCCATACTTGTGTTAGAATGGCTTGATACAACTTCCAATGTTTCAATAATGTCTGGAAGGCCCTCAATCACAGATAGTAATGTATGATCATGGAGTGTCCAACATGATTGTGATATATGTTTCTTGCATGTTTTGTTTTGACTTAGCTTTCGTATCTTTTGAAAATTTGCAGACATTTCCCTAGACATAGGAATAATGTTGAACAAAGAACTCAGCGTATTTAGAGCTCTTCGGAGTTCTTTTACTTCTTTACAAAACCTAATTACTGCTAAATCCAAAAAATGGGCATAACAATGTACGTATAAAGCTCTTGGCTCTTCCTTCTTGAATTGTGCTGCACTTTTATTGAATTTTTCCCTCAAATTAGTAGTACTATCATAGGCCTGGCCTCTTATTTTATTTATATCAACTCCGATTTGCTGCAGGTAAGTTGTGATAGTCCTGTGTAAACTGGTTCCAGTCATCTCTTCAACATCTATGAAACCCAAGAATCTTTCTTTAATTATGATAGCCTTTGATGTTTTTTCTGGGTATCTTACACAAATTGAAAGCTGTTCTTTAGTGGCACTATCAGTTACCTCATCGCATATTATTGAAAAAGCTGAGGAGACGTTGATCTCATTCACAATATCTTGTAACATTTCAGTCTTTATTATATCAATAATATCATTTTGAATTTGTGTGCTATTATAGAAATCAACTTGTGAATTCATAAGTCTAAATATTTCTTCTCCTTTATCTTTTGCTCTGATTTCTAACAATTCTAAAAAATGGCCTTTATTCACAGATGAAATAGACTGGTCCTTTCCTCTTAAGGGTAAACACTGCTTTCCAAGAAATAAAATATTTTCGATGATAAGCTTTAGGTACTTTTTATTTCCTTCCATCTGTTTTGAATGAATAGATAAATTGTCACTGACAGCTTCATCACAAAACTGGTATTCCCTCCAAAACTGCAATGACTTCAAATGCATTATACTTTTTTCATGCTTTGTGAAATTTTTCAGAGTTTTTTTCCAATTAGAAATTCCTTGGGTTGCTAATGACTCTCCTCCAAAGCTATATTTTTTCTGGCAGAACAACTGGCATGAATAACAGAATGTTAAATCCTTTTTAATAGTGGTTCCTAACTTCTGAAAATTTGAACACCAAGATTTTTTAATACTTTGGGATTTACTTTTAACTTTTTGTACTTTAGATGTAAACTTTGGGTAACATAGTCTATTACTTATTTTCATAGATTTCTTACTGAGTGTAGCATCTTGGTTGGAGACTTGATCCTTTTGTACTTCTATATGGGATGAATGCTGACTGAGTACTGATGAAGATGGCAAAAGGCTTAGCTGTTGTTCCATACTACTATTAGTGATACCACTGCTTGACTCACTGGGTGAACTCTTAGAAACCTTTAGGAGGAAAATGATAACATTTGTTTTAACTGTTTACAAATAATGAAAATATCAAAAACATCTATGCTAATAACACAATAAGTGAATGAATAAGTTATAAGTTACAGTATGAACTCCACTAGGGGAAAACAGTAATTATTTATAACATCCATTTGCAATCTAGAATCAATATCATTTGTTCAAAGGACTTTGGTATGTAATAAAAATTTTTATTGCTTAGGTGAGTAGAATTACTTAATAAATATTAAGAAAATTAATAAAGAACCTAAAGGAAAAACCATGACTAAGAATACTTCTCTTTGCCCCAGCCGGCTTGGCTCAGTGGATAGAGCGTCGGCCTGTGGACTGAAATGTCCCGGGTTCGATTCCAGTCAAGGGCACATGCCCAGGTTGCGGGCTTGATCCTCAGCGAGGGGCGTGTAGGAGGCAGCCAATCCATGATTCTCTCTCATCATGGATGTTTTTCTCTCCCTCTCCCTTCCTCTGTCTGAAATCAATAAATATATTTAAAAAGAAAAAAAGAATACTTCTCTTTATTCTGGGGCTAGAGCCTCCACCCTTAGCCACTATGCTGAGAATACTTCTCTTTAAATATTCTTATTAATAATTTAAATTCAAATTTGAGAATTGGGAAACTGAATATAAATTCCAAAAGGTGTTTATTGCTCTACTTTTTTGAGCTCTAGCATCAAAATAGGAATTAAATGCTCAGATAGATACACACACACACACACACACACACACACACACACACGGATTTAAAAAGCTTAAGAAAAGACAGTAGCCAAAAAAAAACAACAAACCCCAACTTACATCCAATAGGACATTTCCTCTTACTGAAGAAACTGTACCTGTTAAAGCATAAATTCAAGATCTTATACCATAATCTATAAAACAGCATCATAAACAATAATTGCTTCTTTTATATCAGGCAACATACAGAAAACTTAGACTATAGAAAAATCATCAAGCAGGGCAAAACTATATTATGTCAAATAGCACATCAATTTTTACCTTGTAAGATATCAGAGTTCATGATGGGCAGGGCAGCATGAGTATCTGCCAATGACATTATATTGCTTATAACTGGAGTTGTATCTCTCTTTGGAGAAAGGTGCTTCTCTGGAGAAAGGAGCTCTGTTGAAGTATTGTGCACCATGGAAACATTTACTGATAAAAATAAAGAGATTTCTTATAAACCAGGCAGAATCAATTAGCATTGTTTAATAACAAGTGTTTCAAAGAACAATGCAAATATCTAATAGCTTTAGGTATTGCTATGTATTGGGGTAATTTTTAGTAGGGCTTAGGGATAGCCAGGTTCTTTAGGATAATATCAATAACAACATTAATACAATAATTTACATTTCCTATCATTTTATATCTTTTACCTTTGCAAACAATTCCTCAGTCTTTCTGCTATTTGTTTGAAATTTCAAAGCAACCTTTTCTGTGAAATTACACATGAAGAACAGGAAAGAGCCCTAGTAAGTTTGGCTCCATGGATAGAGTGTCGGCCCATGAACTGGAGGTGCTGGGTTCAATTCTGGCCAAAGGGCATGTAACCTTGATTGCAGGCTCCATCCCTGGTCAGGTTCGTGCAGGAGGCAACCAATCGATGTGTCTCTCTTCTGTCACTTCCTCCCTTCTACTCTCTCTAAAAATCAATGGAAAAATATACTTGGGTGAGGATTAAAAAAAAAAAAATGACCTAACCAGTCTGGCTCAGTGGCTAGAGCATTGGCCTATGGACTGAAGGATCCCAGGTTCGATTCTGGTCAAGGGCACATGCCCAGGTTGTGGGCTAGATCCCCAGGACCATGCAGGAGGCAGCCGGTCAATGATTCTCTCTCTTCATTCATGTTTGTATCTCTCTCTCCCTCTCCCTTCCTATCTGAAATCAATAAAAAAAATTTTTTTTTTTTAAAAAAAAGGAAGAAAAAAAAAGAACAGAAAAGAGACTCTAGGATTCACAAACCTCAATACGAATGGAGCTGGATTGCTATCCAAGCTAGTATTTTTTAATTCTCACTTTTTTTTAAATCCTCATCCAAAGAAATTTTTCCATTGATTTTTAGGGAGAATAGGATAGGGAAAGACAGAAACATCCGATGTGAGAGAAACACATTGATTGGTTGCCTCCTGCATGCACCCTGATCAGGGCATGGGCTGGGGAGGTGCCTGCAACCGAGGTACATGCCCTTGATCAGAATCAAACCCGGGGCCCTATGGTCTGCAGGCCGACCTTCTATCCACTGAGCAAAACTGGCTAGGGCTAAGCTAGTATTGTAGATATTTCAATAATAAGCCATTTTGCAAGATGTACAAGCCCCACGAGCATCATTCACGCCACTGACTATGTAAATAGCACCACTGGTGCTATATGTGGCTCTCTGATGGTATTACATAGTTGGCCCTGGATTATCTGTGCTTTTCTCTTAGTGAAGTTCAAAGTAGTTCCAATTGGCTCCACTTTCATGTGAAAATTCTAATAGCCTTGTTTTTACAAAGCAGGGCTAAGTACAGGATTCTATTCTAACACAACAATCTTTACAAATATTAAATCTGGTGGTAGTCTTCCTTTTATACAAAAATACTGGAAACCATTTCTTTGCAACAAGTTTTGAATGGTTCTGACTTTTAAATCTAATTTGGAAATGAATCAAGGTTATAAATTAAATGAAGCAGTAATATTCTTCAGTAATCACTAAACCTCTGATTACTAAGCAAATATTACCTGTAGAAGATTCCATCTTAGCTTTACTGTAAGCAGAAAAACAATTAACAGAGCAGAATAGCTCTGTCTTCCCCAAGTCATTGGTAATCTCAATCATTTCATCTGAGGGCTTCAATGATTTGCAAAGACCAGATATAAGTGTTCGGGCTGGTTTCTGTTAAGAGATTAAAATAATATGTTCCTGGTATATGACAAATTTTTAACATACTATCATAAAAATATACCCAATACCACTGCTCTACAAATTAATGACAGTGAACCCACATTTTCACCTTATTAAAGACCAGAAAAGGCATCATAAGTTACAATGATTGAAATGCAGGAAATTGATCAATCTATTAGATAACTATTTGTATTTTTTGTCCGATATGTTAATAGCAATTATAATACATGTGCAAGCAATGAAAAAAGTGATCATAGAAGATGTTCACCATCCCAGGCAATCAAAGCCAATTTTATGAATAAAAAAAAAAAAAGTCTTACAACTATAGCTTTTTCCTCAAAACCTGTTTGAGCATCAATTCAGGAAAACCTATTGGTGCTAAGGAGGAGCTAGAAAAGGTCTTAACACACTTTACAAGATGTTGTGGGAAGTCACTTTTTCTAGGCCAACTTACATGGTAAAAATTGCAAGCATATTCAAAGAAAGCATTGAAGCAGTAAGAGGTATAGAATAAAGTGTGTTCAATAAGCAGTACGTGTGCAAAGGAAAAAGAGAGAAACTGTGAGGTTCATCACCTAATAGTATTCTTTTTAGTGAAACAGGAACCATCTATTCTTGAGTTTAAGAAGTTAATACTGATGGCAATGATGAAACAGAACTGCTTTTGTGGGCACAAAGTACAAAGACAAATTAAAATACCTTGTACAATTTTTTTTCTGTGAAAGAATATTGGCAAAGAAACAATGAAACAAAAAGCAGAGTATAATTTTGAAAATTAGTATTTTTATCCTTTATTAGTATGATTATATTTTCAGAAACTCCTAAAAATCCACTGGTATTTAACATTAACCAACAATAGTGGTATAATTTATTATTAATCATTCATATGAGAAAGATAATACTTATAATAATATACTCTACTGAGATGTAGCCAAAATAATTACATTTCTACCAAACAACCCACTTTTTAAGTCACTCCATTTTTAGACAGATATGAACACTTTCTAATTCTTGATTATAGTTCACTAATAATTTAGATTTTCTCCATTAACACTGTCACATAATATCTTGAATGCTTTACAGTGTTAGGTGGTGCTTTAAAAAACAAAACAAATATGTTTTTATTGATTTTTTTATTTTTTAAAAATATATTTTATTGATTTTTTTTTTTTTAGAGAGAGAGAGAGAGGAAGGGAGAGGGAGAGAGAGAAAAACATCAATGATGAGAAACATCATCAATCGGCTGCCTCCTGCACACCCCCCACAGGGGATCGAGCCCACAAGCGGGGCATGTGCCCTGATGAGGAATCGAACCAGTGGCCTCTTGGTTCCTGGCTCGATGCTCAATTGCTGAGCTACACCAGCTGGGCTGTTTATATTGATTTTTTAGAGAGAGAGGAAGAGAGAGGGAAAGAGAAACATTAATGATATAGAAACGATAGTCTGCCTCCTGCATGCCCCATTACTGGGGATCAAGCCTGCAACCTGGGCATGTGCTCTGACCGGGAATCGAACCAGTGACCTCTTGTGAATAGGTGATGCTCAAACCACTGAGCAACACTGGCCGGGCTAGGTGGTGCTTTTAAACTCCTTTACCCACATCAGCCCTACCCCATCACATAGGTTGGATAAGTAAGTACTCAATATAGGTTCTTAAAACCAGGACAAGGCCTATTAAGTGTGAGGGATAAAGAAGGAAAATAAGGAATGGCATTTCTTGCCTTTGGAAGATTTCCCTGACTTCCATTGTCCCATTTCTGTTCCCAAGACATTATATTCTCTGGTGTGGGCAGTCTGCCATAAAAAAAAGATGTGGCTTGCCCTAGCTGGTTTGGCTCAGTGGATAGAGTGTTGGCCTGTGGACTGAAGGCTCCCGGGTTCAATTCCTGTCAAGGGCACATGCCGGGGTTGCAGCCTCGATTCCCAATGTGGGGCGTGCAGGAGGTAGCCAATGATTCTCTCTCACCATTGATGTTTCTATCTCTCTCTCTCTCTCCCTTCCTCTCTGAAATCAATGCAAAAAAAATATGTATATGTATATGTATATGTATATCTATCTATACCTATCTATATCTATATATATATAAAAAGAGATGTGGCTTACAAATGACCTATTTGAATTGTGGTTTGTTAAGATTCCCATCTTCAGTAACTTTTTTTTTTTAAAATACATTCCATTGAGTTTTTACAGAGAGGAAGGGAGAGAGATAGAGAGTTAGAAACATCGATCAGCTGCCTCCTGCACATCTCCCACTGGGGATGTGCCCGCAACCCACGTACATGCCCTTGACCGGAATCGAACCTGGGACCTTTCAGTCCGCAGGCCGACGCTCTATCCACTCAGCCAATAACTTTTTTTAAAGAAAGAATTATATAAGGATAGAGTTGGGTCTCAAAGCATCATATAAACAAGATATGTGATAATCCCACGTCATGAAAGGGGCTCAGACTGTGTTCATTGCATCTACCAAAGCTTCTCTGCTCAGACCACCCACCCAAGACTCTCCTATCAACAGTAGGGGGGTATTTCTCATTGGTTTATTTCCTCCTATGATTCACTCAGAAAAAGCATGACATTCTTGATTCACCTTAACCTTGCTTAGGTGTAAAGAAACACATGGGCCCTAGCCGGTTTGGCTCAGTGGATAGAGTGCTGGCCTGCAGACTGAAAGGTCCTAGGTTGGATTCCGGTCAAGGACACATGCTCAGGTTGTGGGCTCGATCCTCAGTAGGGGGTGATTCTCTCTTATCATTGATGTTTCTATCTCTCTCTCCCTCTCCTTCCCTCTCTGAAATCAATAAAAATGTGTTAAAAAAAAGAAAAAAAGAAATACATGGAACTAAAAACAAAAACACTTTTGTGGCTGAGTCTTACCAGTACACTGTTATTTATGTTAGCTTTATTTGTAGTTTATATACGAGCTTCCATCTGCTTGCCTTTCCTCAAGGTAAGATGATCACCTGAGGTTCTTTAGGAAAATCTCCACCTAGCACTTATCATGAATTATTTTCAAGAAGGAATTATCAGAAGCCTTTTATTTCATCTCCATCATTTTACCAACTGAAACTGTTCCCAATGGTATTAAAATCTATTACACATTTTCCTAAAGTGAAACCATTCACAAGCCAACTAATAGAAGGGACTCAATCTTCAATTTTTCATCGAGTCCTATGCAGTCAAATTCAAATGGAGTAGTCCTCCCTTTAGGCAACACATCTTTATTCATACCTGCTGGCATGCTGTAATATTCTTTGAACTGTTTAAGTAATGGGACTGTCCTTCCACCTGAAGTATATGGAACAGATCAGAACTAGTGTAACAGTAAACTCCACAGTTCTCACAACAGTTTATGGTGAGGTTGTTAGCAGAGTGAAACTTTGAAAAACAGGCATTACTGCAAAGCATATTTTTCATATTCTGATATTCTACTTCATACTGAATCTAGGGTAAAAAAAAAAAAGATTCAGTAAAAATTCTAGTATTTAAGCGGATCAATCAGAGTCCCTAAAGATGAAAAAATTGCAACTTACGAGAGTAGTCTTCTGACACATGCTGCATTTGGTTGAAATCCTGTCAGTATATAGCTTAACAGATAGTTTTCTTAGACAAGATTGGCTGCAAAAAATTTTGCTAAAGGTAGTATCTTTCGGCTGGACACTGATGACATCCTTTAGATTTGAAATGTCTCTGAAAATAAATAACAAGGGTATCATTAAACAGTTTTGTCATAATTATAATTTTTCTCTATAAGCTAAATCACTGCCTTAAACAACCTTCTCGTTTCTTTTTTAAAAATATTTTTATTGATTTCAGAGAGGAAAGGGAGTGAGAGAAAGAAACATCAATAATGAGAGAGAATCATTGATCAACTGCCTCCTGCACGCCCCTTACTGAGGATCGAGTCCACAACCCGGGCATATGCCCTTGACTGGAATCGAACCTGGGACCCTTCAGTCCGCAGGCCGATGCTCTATCCACTGAGCCAAACCAGCTAGGGCATCCCTTATTGTTTCATTTACCTGAAGAATAGGGCATCATTAAACAGTTTTACCATAATTATAATTTCTCTCTATAAGCTAAATCACACCCTCAAACAACCTTTTCCCTTGTTTCATTTACCTGTAGAACTGTGAAACAGTAAGAATATCAGCTTTGATATAAGAAAACCCAAATTTAGTATCTAGTTCTTTTACTTATAGGTCATTTTTATTCCCTACATGTTAATTTACTCATCTATAAAGTAGGGATTATAAAACACATCTGACAGTGCAGTTTTAAGGATTACCTAACCTGTGTCAGCTGGTGCTAGAAATAATAAATGATGTCACATATTCATACCTGACCAACTTTGGAATCTACAGGACAGAAGATTTCAAAGTATGGTCTGTAAATCCCTGGGGATCCCCCAGATGCTGAGGGAATCCACAAAATCAAAACTATTTCCACATTAAGATGTTATTTGCTGCCCTAGCCCAGTGGTCGGCAAACTGCGGCTCTGAGCCACATGCGGCTCTTTGGCCCCTTGAGTGTGGCCACGAAGTTTCAATCGCACTGTATGTGCGCGCCCGCATGTGGTATTTTGTGGAAGAGCCACACTCAAGGGGCTGCAGTTTGCCGATCACTGCCCTAGCTGGTTTGGCTCAGTGGGTAGAGTGCTGGCCTGCAGACTGAAGGGTCCCAGGTTAGATTCTGGTCAAGGGCACATGCCCGGGTTGCGGGCTTGATCCCCAGTAGGGGGCATACTGGAGGCAGCCAATCAATGATTCTCGCTCATCATTGATGTTTCTCTCTCTCTCTTCCTCTCCCTCCCTCTCTGAAATTAATTAAGTAATATATGTATGTATATATATATATATTTTAAAAAGATGTTATCTGCTTTTTTAACTGTACATCTGAAAAGCAATGGTGGCCCCTTTAATTCTACACCTAGGTTTACACCCCAAAGAATTGAAAATAAGTACTTAAAAAAGAACATGTACATGCATGTTCATAACAGCACTAGTCACAATAGTTAAAACAGCCTAAATGTTCATCAATGAATGAAAGGATAAAGAAATTGTGGTATATTCATGCAGTGGAGTATTATTCAGCTATAAAAAAGAATGAAGTACTGATATACAAGCTACAACATGGATGAAGCTCAAACACATGCTAAGGGAAAGAAGTCAGGAACAAAAGATCACCTGTAGGATTCCATTTATATGAAATATCCAGAATAGATAAATACATAGAACACAGGCTGGTGGTTGCCAGGGGCTGAGGGGACAGGAGAGGGAAACTAAATAAAGCATTTTACTTTGGAGTGACAGAAATGTTTTAGAACTAGATAGAGGTGGTAGTTGTACAACACTGCCAATGTATGAATGTTACTGAAATGGTTTTTTGTTATGTGAATTTCACCTCAATAAGTTGTGAGGGGGAAAAAAAAAGCAATGGTTGGGTAAAACTGCCAGAACCTTACCATAAATCAAGGTAGTAGCACCAAAATGTACCAATACTAGTGTTATTCTCAGCCAAGCATTCGCTGTAAAAATTACTTTATTAAACTTGATCCTTGAGTACATCACATCTTTTCTGTGTGGTAAAATAGGATATAGGCATAAAGAATTACCCATGTGCACTCAAGAATGACGGTTGTCTCAAGGAAAACCACGTGTGGGAATGTTAAGACTTATAACCTAGGTTAGCCACTTTTTCTATGAAATACATTTTTACCTGAAAGAACAACTATTACCCAGAAGTAGACACCTGGAAGATATTGTTTCTCAAAAATGAATTAAGTAAGACTGTTACTTCAAAGAACACAATTGGCAGTATTCATTGCCAATGATAAAATTTGAGCTTCATTGAAAATAAGAATTTTTGAATTCTTGTATATGCTACTTCCAGCTTAATCGCTCCCTATCACTTAGACATTCCTGATGACATTAGTGATTTAAAAAAAACAAGTGATTTTAAAAATATTGCATAATGAAATACATCAACATCGGCATAACTCACTGAACCAATATTTTCGATCGATTGCACGTAACAGAAATCATTTATGGGGAAAATAACCAAAGTACAAATAGACCAATGAATTTTAATTTAGCAGTACAAAAAGTTCATTGATATGGTTTCAGATTACATATTACAACCAACCTTTAAAAACCTACTACTTGTTTTCTGATGTTGTATCAAAGAGCATCCACAATGATCTAAATGCTAGTAGAACACTCCTCCCTTTTTCAATTACACATTTTGTAAGGCCAGATTTCTTTAGACTTCTACCAAAACAGTATTTTGCAAGAAACTGGATACAGAAGCAGATATGCAAACCCAGCCTGCCATTAAAGTAAAACTGATAAAAACAATGCCCACTAAAATTTTCTTCTCACAAAATTTTTAAAAAAAGGCTATTTTTCGTGATATTCATGTCAACATGCACTGAGTGTATTATTTTCAATCAGCTAATAGCTTTTAAATTCCTCAATTTTAACTGCTAAAACAGTATATATTGGCAGACATAACCTATCTAAAACTAAAACTCTTTGGGTCTTCAATAATTTTCAAGAGTGGAAAGGGGCCTGGAGAACAGAAAATTTGCGAACTGCGACTACAGGAAATGACAACATACCTGGCTTCCTAGAACCTTCAGAATATCAATATTTCAGAATAATAGTTTTTCAGATTAAATACTCTTTTTTTTTCTTGATTAAGGTATTACATATGTGTCCTTATCCCCCATTGCTCTCCTACCCCGGGATTAAATACTCTTGAAATGAACACTATTTTAACAGTTCAACATTTACAAAGTTTTAGTGTATTATGCATGATTTTTCTACCCTTTTAAACAGATGATACCCAAAATAACATGTTCATTTCATTATCACATCATCAATCATTTTATTGGTTTAAATCACAGCTCTAAATGCAGTCTGAGTTGTGTTATCCTTGTACTTCATGACAAAAATTCTAGGATCCACTGGTGCCAGGCAGTGTTTACATGATGGGGATATAAAGATGACTGTAATCTAGTTTCTAATGTTAAGAAGTTCATTGTAGCCCGGCAGGTGTGGCTCAGAGGTTGAGCACTGACCCATGAACCAGGAGGTCACAGTTAGATTCCAGGTCATGACACATGCCCAGGTTGGGTGCTTGATCTCCAGTAAGGGTCGTGCAGCAGGCAGGCAATCAATGACTCTCTCTCATCATTGATGTTTCTATCTCTCTCCCTCTTCCTCTCTGAAATTAATAAAAACATTAAAAAAAAATGAAGAAGATGAAGCTCATTATCTAAACTGGGCAATATCAATTCTTTAAAACATTAATTTTATGATCAATGTTTTGGGAGTTGTGAACACTATAAAAACAGAGCATGGACAATAAATATGGGTGGGTGGATGGTAGTAAAAGAGGAAGGAATAGTGTGGGAATGGATAGGAGGTAAAGATATTTGAGGCAGACCTTTAAGACACAAAATTAGCCAGTTGGGAAGAGAGGCAGAAGATATTGCATTGACAGAAGCATGGAACTCTGAAAATGCTTACTGGCTTATATTGTTAGTATATTAGATTGCTGCTTCTAATCTACTAAAGCCTTATAAATAAAAACTCAAAAGGGGAATTTTGTTACAAGTGTCTAAAATTAGCTTAAACAAACTCTCAGCATAGATCTGAACAACTTTCCTACAAATAAGTGTTCAACATTAGTACATAGGCCTATTTTGAACTCTACTGATTGCTCTCAGGATCTCCAGTTGGTTCCAACAGGGATACTAAAGGACAGAAATGATACTTCTTAAATACATAGCTCTCAAAAAAAAGTCATCTAACCTGATTTAAAATGTCCTTTTTCCAAGCTATTTTTTATCTCATTCATGAAATATATTAAGAATTTCATTAACTAAAAACAGATTAAAAATCATTGCTATAAAACCTCAACAGTGACCAGGAGGTGTGGCTCAGTGGTTAAGCATCAACCTATGAACCAGGAGGTCACAGTTGGATTCTTGGTGAGGGCACATGCCCAGGTTGTGGGCTCGATCCCCAGTGTGGGGTGTGCAGGAGGCAGCTGATCAATGATTCTCTCTCATCATTGATGTTTCCTTCTCTCTTTCCCTCTCTGAAGTCAATAAAAATATATTTTTAAAAATATAAAATAAATAAAAAATCAATTTAAAAAAAAGAAGATTCAAAGTATGGTAATCTGGTTCCCAAATAAGACATCATTGAAAGGAATTTGTGTTCTGAAACAAAGACATTTAAAACTTAGCATTATCATTTAATGAGTTATTAAATAAACCAGGATTATACTAGATACAGTAAGACTCTCAAAGCACTGATGCTTTTACACATCTCAGGGCATAGTTCAAAGTTCTGGACATTTTTCACGAATTTATTACAAAATGACTACTACCTTCTTTCTCTATATCAGAAATGACTTACATATGTAAAAAAGTAAACTAAGACCAAAACAATAGCTCACAGAAATCTTGAAAAGATTATATCCATCCATCTATGTTTACCTATGGCTATTCAATTTTTCAAGAAAATTAAATAGCCCTGACCGGTTTGGCTCAGTGGATGGAGCGTCGGCCTGCGGACTCAAGGGTCCCGTGTTCGATTCCAGTCAAGGGCATGTACCTTGGTTGCGGGCACATCCCCAGTGGGGAGTGTGCAGGAGGCAGCTGATGTTTCTCTCT